TTTCATCAATGTGTTCCATTAAACCATTGATCCCCAAGGTTTCTCAATTCTCCAAGTTCAATTTAAATTAAATTAATTAGGTTTTCATTCAATTTTTCATAGGGTCGATTTATGTTGGTTTAATTGTTTGTTTTTAATCTTTTTATGTCTGCTTTAACTCAATGACATACTTTTCAATAAAAATCACATGAACACATTCATTGGTCATGAAATTTGAATATGAACCCTAAAATACATGAATTATTTAAGAAATTGTGAATCTATGACTTAATATTTTCATTAAGTTATGAATGATTTATGAAAAACAATGTATTATGAATAAAGTTTCTTTATGATATAAATCAATAAAAATTTTATAGGATTTTTCTCACATACTACGAAATCATGGATTGATGAAAGGTTTTCTCCCGAAAACATGATCCATTATTTAATGAGCTACTCTAGATGTTTTAAGCTTGGACTAGTATTTGAATTGTACTTTTCCATGGATTATGATAACTATATGAAATTGAATATTCCATTGAGATTTAGCTTAGCATTGAGAGATCTTTAAGGTGCAGACTCAAATAGGCTAGTCTCTAGTAGCAACTTAGAGCTCAAAACTACGTGTCCATATAACATTCTCTTAAATGGCATAGCTAGTGATACCTATATTGTATACAAATCATGATACAAAGAGATTCCTTGCAAGTAAACTCCCCTTTCTCGTTGTGAGAGTTATAGAACACATGTCATATTCTTTGTTAAAGATGATATCCACAAAAATATTCACTTTATCAATGTTTGATTAATATTTACTTGATTATTTTAATATGCATTCACCATGTTGATGATTTATGGTTCTACTTCAGATGATTTTAATACTGTTTAGCCTTGTCGTACATATAATCTTCCATTATGTCCTCTTATGATCATGTATCATGTCTTATTGCATCCCCCTATACAGAGTAAATTTCTTCTACTATGCATACTTTTGCCTACTTTTTTTCCACTAATGTAGGTGTGCCAATTACTTTTCCCTCCATTTGTCGCTAGTATATGAATGGTGTAGATTCGAAGACTTGGTGAGTCATGATACTTTGAGAACTATGACACTTGTATTGCTTTCGTATGTCTTTACTTTCCAATGTTGTATGTTGTGTACAAATTATGCTCTGACCACTTATTTTTTGATTTAGAATATTACTTGTAAGACTATAATAAAGATTCCACTTTATGTCAAACACTTTTATTATGTGAGAGTTTTCTTTATTATGTTGTGTATATGTATGCAAGTGGCTTGTGTTGGGCCTCTTGGGGTCTGGTATGTCATTTTACATCTTGGGTTTACTTTGGGTAATGACAGTTGGGTATGGTGAATTTAACTTTATGAATGAATCATATTATCATACATATATTTTAAATATAAATAAGTATATTTATTCTACGTTTAATTTATAATATTAATTTTCCCCCGAAGGATGTAGTTTTATTTGCTTAATCTCTATTCATTGTGCAATGATTTAAGTTAAAATATATATTTAAATAGGTAATTTTTTAGTTTGATGTTATTACAATGTAAAATGCTCTATAATTATTGATATTATATTTTAATAGTGAACATTAGTTTTATTGGCAAGTAAAATTATCACTATTAATGAAAATCACTTTAATTATTGAAATCTTTTATGATATTAATTTATATGTTGTATACATCATCTATGCATTTTGGTTATTTATGTAATATTATATTTATTTGGGAGACCATGACTTCATCTACGTTTCACATTATTCCATTTGCACTTTCAATATAAGACCTAGTGTTTTTCTCCAACTCAGAGCATATGAGAAGTGTAATACTTAGAAATTTTAAATTTAATCTAGAGCCTCACATGAGTGTCATAGTTTTGTAACACTATTATTAGGCCTAAAAAATTAATATAAATCAGTTAGGAGGTGTTGGAGTTAAAACGTCAAGGAACATCCACGATGTTCGGTGAATTTATAACTTGGACTAATTTAGTGCCTTGATGGTTTTAAGAAAGTAACTAAGGGTTAATAATGGTGAGAGGTTGGTGGTGAATATAGGTACCTAAGAGGGGTTTAATAAACAAGGCCAAGTGATGAGTGACATCATTCAAGGGCAAGCATTAGCCACGAGGCCAAGGCTTCCCAAGAAGGGAGGCTACTGCCTCACTCTTCACGAGCATGACCACGGCCAAGGTGAGGAGATATTGAAGAAGAGTTGGCCATGGGGGATAAGAGTTCATTATACCTAGCTACTGTTCAAGACACCATGAATCACTACACGACTCGTGGTGAATTTGACTTAGAGCAAGGGGATTCCGTGAAAATGCCTTAACCAAAATGGATAAGTTTGGTGGGGCGTTGGGGAGCTACTTCCTAAGATCACCACGAGCAACTTGACGGGACATGGTGCATCTTCAGGGAAGGGGCCTAGGGTGCTCGTTAAAGTGACTTGGTGAGAGAAACGGAGGAGGCTCCTTTGGAGGAGCTACTGCCTCACCATTTCACGTCCACCATCACAGTCCATCATGCACTTCACCGACCATGAAGTGGGGAGTGATGATGGATGGGGGTCTCCCAGTGAAGTTATTTTGGACTTCACTTTTGAAAGTCCAACTTAATGTGGTGCAGTTTGGGTATTTTTGGGGTGGACAATATATTGACTTTAGGTCAATTTTTGTTCACTTCCCACTCCAAAACACAAGCTGTAATTGGAACCCAAATCGCTCCCACTTATCTCTACTCTCTCTCTCTATTTATCCTCCATTGAAGAACAAGAATCTTGAGGAAAAAGATAGTATTCAAGGTTTCACATAATTTTTATGGGAAAATCTTCAATAATATATGAGTTTTTCACTCTTGGGATTCCTTTCCCCAACAGGACCTCTTAATGTTGAATTTCAACTACTTAAATTCTTAGGGTTTTTCTCTATATATGAGTTTTTTTCTAAAGTTGAAATTGATGATTAATTATGTTGAATTTCGATTGCCTATGACTAATCTAGAGTAGATTGTTGTGTAATTGATGGTTATTGTAGGAATTTTGTATAGATCATGTCCTTCCCCAGTTTCCCCAAGTCTTGATTCTTACTTTTTAATTGAAGGGGAATTATGAATGTATCGATTGTTGTAACTATCCTATTCAATCTATAGACTGCCTAGGCAGTGGCGAAGCTAGAATTCAGTCTAAGGGGAGTAAAAATATAAAGAAATAAAATTATGTAGAATCCAAGGAGTGTCAATATGTAATATAAATATACATAATATTTTTAATTCTAGACACACAACGTAATTTTTTGGACGAAGGGGTGTTAGTCGACATCCCTTCACTGCATGTGGCTCCTCCACTGTGCCTAGGGACATGTATTGTTGTGATAAGACCTAGGTATTTTAGAATTGAAGATGAACCTTTCTCTCTTAAACCCTAGGTTATGAACTGAAGTTGATTGGGATGGTGATGATACAATTGGCTTAGTGTTGTGTAGATTACTATCGTATGATATTGTTACACCTATTGTTAGGTGGAATTGAGTGGTTGATGGTAAAACCATGGCTGATTTCTTATGTAGGAAACTGGTTAAGTCTTGTGATCTCAAACCTTTACTTCAATTATGATTACTTATGTTTAGTGATGAACTTATATTGAATTATACCTTTTGATAAGATTAATTAGGGTTTGTATGATGTTGAATTGAAATGTCTTGACTTATTACTTGTGATTTGTTTGATATTATTTAATAATATAATGTCTGTGATGAATTGCCAATATGCCTTATTGTAATATGGTGATATAAATGTGCTAACCTCATAAGTGTGAATTTTATTGATAGAAAAAAACTCATGCAATTCCTATTGAGCTATGGCCTTGACTATATAAGGGATAGAACCTATGACCATAAACTAAGTTATGATTATTCATAAAAGACATTCCAAAAAGGGACTCTATCTTAGCACCGAGAACTTGAAGATGAGGGGTGGCATTTCCCTGATGTGGGGAGGTAGAGTTCACCATAGTCCTCACAAAGTGGATAGCCTCATGGACCAAAGGGCATAGAGTGATATTGACATATACGCCTACAAGTTCCATAAACTATATTTCCACTATAAGAAATACTAGCTAGTGGATCCACCTTAGAATTCTATGTTCATATTTGGTTCTACTTTGGCAAGTAGACCACCTTCCATTGTGTAAGGTTTCATAACACAAAATTCCACACTTAGCTCTTGTGGTCTATGTCGACTAAGGAAAGTGTTCTCAAAAGGTCAAAATGAATTAATATAGTGAACTCTAGTTAGGATGACCTAATGTGTTTTGCTAAGTATAGGTAGGAGTATGAGACTCTACCTATACATTGCACTAGTTAGCCTTGAGGAAGGTCTTAGAAGGAGGCTCGTATGTGCTTATATGCTTATAAATGTAAATGATTTGTTTATGTTGTTTCTACATGTTAATGACACTATGTGATATGGGTTTCCTTACGTACATGTGGTTGGTCTCTATTCCTAAAGTACAATGATGTCTACTCTTAATGATATAGTATGTAAATTTGGGAAATGATTATAGTTCTTGTTGGGTTTACTTGGTTTAGTATGGTTATGGAGCCTTACTTAGTGATTGCACTAGTGGATAAATGGGGGTGTATGAGTGATGGTCTTGCTTAGATTATGATATCATGAGATCTTATGCATTTATGTTGATATATTAGTTGATAATAGAGTTGTCTTGATTGTGTGCTCAATTTTATTGATATGCATGTTGACTTGATTAGACTTGATATTGTTGGTCTTGTGATTTACATGGTCTTAACTTAAGGAATATGTTCTTATTGACTTGTATTGGCTCTTGAATGCTCATAAGGTATTTCCAAAGTGACTTTGCATGCTTTTAAATAAATGTCCCTTTTTGACTTGATTTTTATGTTGTATGTGCATATGATCCTATACTTAGTACATGTGATTTTCTAAACCCAATATTTTTGGTTCCATATGTTTAGGAGATTTTGGACATTTGCATAGAAGGCTTGGAATCATTTTCCAAGTGAGTATGTGCTCAACTCCGAGGATGATTCCTTGTTATTAGTCTAGCTATGTTTATTTGCTGTAGTCTAAAGATGATCATTTCATTCTACTTGTTCCAAGATATTGTATTAAGCCGTAAGTTGCATTTGTTCATTGTGTAAGGGCTTATGCCCATGTTGATTTGACTCAATTAAGATGGTTTAATATGATACATCCCTTTTAAGACTATGTTATGTATCTTATATATAGGTGCCATAAAAGGAGAATACGATGTAATCTTCTTATACGAAGGATCTATATATAGTAGATATGAATATATTATGTGTAAGTGAGAGGTCTAAGTAAACCTCATGAAGTAGTGTAGATGAAAAGTTTTAAATTTTCCACATTTTAACCTTTGAATGTAATGATGAATGCGAAGAGGCTAGTCTTAGTCCTCTTCGAGGATGACGATGCTAGTTACGTCTAGGGGGTGATCCTAGATGTGACAAACTTGGAATCAGAGCATGAGGTTGAATAATCCTAGCCACATCTGTGTAGATTCTTATTCATAATTATGAAGTGCCCCATACTTATGAATGAGAGACTATGTGACGATTAGAAACTCTCATCTTCCTGTATTCATATATCGTGCCTCTAGAGTCTTGTTATGTGCTTTCACCTAAACCTTGTATCATGGTTATAGGTATGAATACTAAGGGCCAAATTAGTCATTGCTATTGTGGGGTCTAATGACAACCTAGGTCATCCACAAGAAAACTAAGTGCCTCCACTTGAGGAAGTTTCTATGGGTGATGAAGTTCCGGGTGTTCCACCAACTATGAGCAATGGAGAGATAAGGGAAAATTTTCTCAATTTGGCCCAAGCCATGATTTCTCAAGAAAATTCTGTCACTTCTCAAGTCCAATCCATGACGACCCAAGCAAATAGGGAGGCTGGACCCCTAGTGGCTCAACATGCTAGCGCCATGGGCTATCATTTAAGAGACTTTACTAGAATTAACCCACCTATATTCTTTTTTTCGAAAGCATATGAAGACCCTCAAGATTTTAGGTCTATAGGATTCTGTGTTCTATGGGTGTGACCTCAATTGAGAAGGCCTAGTAGGTGGTCTATCAACTCAAAGATGTGTCCCAAACTTGCTACCTACAATGGAGAGATAATAGGGCACTAAGAGGTGGTCTGGCTAGAATTCTCTCCTTAATTCATTCTTTCCTAGAGATTTGAAGGAATCTAAGGTGGAAGAATACAACAACCTTCGTCAAGGATGTATGAGTGTACTTGACTATTCCTTAAAATTCACTAAAATGTCCAAGTATGCTCCATCTTTGGTGTCTAACCCAAGGGATGAGATGAGTCATTTTCTTACAGGGTGTTCAAATACTTGGTTGAAGAATGTCATTCGACTATGCTTCATGATAATATGAATACCTCTTGTATCATTGTTCATGATCAACAAGTGAAAGAAAGTAGGCTAAGGAGAAAGAGAAGGGAGGCCAAGAAGGCAAGATGTTATGAAGGTGGTTTTTCAAGGGGTAGGCTTGACATTTGAGACATGCCTAGGTTCAAGAAGTGGTTCTCTAATAAGTTCCTTCCAAATTTCCCAAGGCTCTTGATGATAAGGTGTCTAACGTTACGACTTCAAAAGGAAAAGATACTAGTTAACCTAGGAAGAAGCCAACTTGTGAAAAGTGTGGCAAGAAACATTATGGTGATTTCCTAATTGTGCTAGACAATTTGCTTTTGGTGTGTGGAAAGAGTGGACACAAGGTTAGAGATTGACCTAATTTGAAGGGAAAAAAAGGTAGCGGGCAAGCTCAAGCTAGTCGTTCTAATGTTGATGCTCTAATGAAGAATCACTTTTATGCTCTTCCCTCTAGGGTGAACAAGAGTGTTCTCCCAATGTAGTGTCCGGTATGTTACAAGTCTTCTCTATTGATGTATATGCGTTACTTGATCCGGGTACTACATTATCTTTTCTTACTCCCTTGATATATAAGAAGTTTGATATTTTTCCCGATGACCTAAATGATCCTTTTATAGTAATTACTCCAGCAGGGAAGGGGTGGTTACAAAAAGAGTATATAGAATTTCTCCAATATATTTATCCAATAGAGTTACTCATGTTGAATTAGTAGAACTTGATATAATTGATTTTGATGTAATTTTGGGTATGGATTAGTTTCATGATTTATTTGCTTCCATTGATTGTTGAATAAGAATTCTTAAGTTCAATTTTTGAAATGAACCCGTCTCAGAGTGGAAGGGGAGAAATTCGATTCCTAGAGGTCGTATCATCTCTTTTATAAGGATTGTAAAATAAAATCAAAAGGGTGTCAATATTAATTGTAAGAGTCAAAGATTTAGACTTCGAGAATCATCCCATTATGTCGGTCCTTGTAGTGAGTGAATTTCGGGAGGTCTTTCTTAATGATTATCTCGGAATCCCTCCCGAATAGGACATTAGTTTTGGTATTGTCTTGCTATTGGATACGAACCCTATTTCAATTACTCCTTATCGGATGGCTCCGCCTGAATTAGAGTTGAAGGCTAAACTAAAGGACTTACTAGACAAAGGATTATTAGAACTAGTATTTCTCCATGGGGTGCACCGATATTGTTTGTAAAGAAGAAGGATGGGTCCCTTAGAATGTTCATTATTTACGCAAACTGAATAAAGTCACTATTTAGAATAAGTACCCTGTCCCTCGTATTGACGACCTTTTTGATTAAGGGGCAATCTAATTGAGATCAGGGTGTCACAACCTTAGGGTGAGAGGTGAGGGTATACCAAAAAATGTCATTTCGAACAAGATATGGTCACTATGAATTCTTAGCAATGTTTTGTTGCCTCACTAATGCCCCAGTTGCATTTATGGTCCTAATGAATATACCTAGATTCATTTTTCATTGTGTTCATTGAAGACATCTTGGTATATTAGAAAAATTAAGGTGAGCAGATGGACCAATTGAGAGTGGGTTTGCAAGTGCTTAAGAAACACAAACTTTCCAAGTATAGCAAATGTGAGGTTTTATTGAGGTTTGTGGCATTTCTTGGTCATATCATCTCTAGTGAAGGAGTTGAGGTTGATAAAAGAAAAACCAAGGTGGTGAAAAATTGTCCTAGACCATTGACTCCAATCGACATTAAGAGATTCTTGGTTCTAGCGAGTTATTATAAGAAGATTTTGGATGGTGTTGAATCCATGGCTTCTAATTTGACCCACAAGAGTGTGAAGTTTGAGTGGTCCGAGTCATGTGACAGAAGCTTCCAAATTTTGAAAGATAAGCTTACTTCTTGTCCGATAATGACCCAACCGGAGGCTACTAAGGGCTCTATGGTATATTGTGATGCATCCTTATTGGGATTGGGGAGTGTTCTCATGAAACACGGGAAGTAGTAGCCTATGACTCTTGACATCTTAAGGTGCACGAAAATAATTATAAAACTCATGATCTTGAGTTAGTGGCCGTTGATTTTCCTTGAAAATATGGAGGAATTTCTTGAATGGTGTTCATGTTGATGTGTATACTAACCATAAAATTCTTAAATATTTGTTTAAACAAAAGGAGTTAAATCTTTGACAAAGAAGATAGTTGGAATTTTTAAAAGATTACGACATGATCTTACCCTATCACCGCAGAAAAGCCAAATGTTTGCGTAAGTTCTAAGTCGTATAACCATGGGTAGTGTTTCTCACATGGAATAAACAAATAAATATCTAGTTAAAGATGTTCATAGATTGGCTCATTTCGGTGTTAGATTATAAGATTCCCCAAATGGTGGTTTTATGGTTCATGATAACTCCGAATCGTGTTTGGTGGTGGAGGTGAAATTTAAAAAATACCTTCATCAACCATTGATGGAGTTAAAATTATTGGTTCTTGGTAAGCTAAATGAGTCATTCTCCTTCGAGGGATGCTGTTTTGAGGTACCAAGGAAGGTTGTGTGTTCCTAATATTGATAATTTGAGAAACTTGATCCTTGAAGAAGCTCATGGTTCCCATTATTCAATACATCCGGAATCTACTAAAGTGTATCACACCCTTAGAGAAATGTTTTGGTGGTATGACTTAATAAGGGACATAGCGGAATTTGTTGCAAAATGTCCCAATTATCAACAAGTGAAAGCCGAGCACCAAAATCTGGGTGGTTTACTTCAAGAAATCCAACTTGTCACTTTGAATTGGGAAGACATTAACATGGATTTAGTGGTAGTTTAGCCTCAGACTCAAAAGCAACATGACTCTATATGGGTGGTAGTGGATAGATTGACGAAGTCCACTCATTTCATTCCCGTCAAGTCCACTTACTCGGTGGAGGATTATGCAAGAATCTTAGTAGATGATAATATGTGTTGCCAAGGTATTAGATTATCCATCATACTGGATAGGGGTGAACAATTCACATCTAGGTTTTAAAGGTCATTCCAAAAAGGGTTTGGTACAAAGGTGAAGCTAAGACCGTTTTTCATCCCTAAACGGATAGTCAAGCAGATCGTACTATTCAAACCCTTTAGGATATGCTTAGAGCTTGTATAATTGATTTAAAGGGAAATTGGGGTAAACATTTGCCTTTGGTTGAGATTTTTTACAATAATAGGTACCATTCATCTATATCTATGGATCCTTTTGAAGATGTATGTTAGGAGATGTAGATCTCTTATTAGATGGTTGGATGTGGGCGAGTCTTCACTTTTTGGTCCCAAATTGATAAATAAGAATTTGGAGAAGGTTCATATAATACGTAGTCGATTGAAAACATCTTATAGTCGGCAGAAGTCGTATGCTGACCATAGGAAAAAAGACTTAGAGTTTGAAGAAGGTGATAAGGTGTATCTAAAAATTTAACCTATGAAAGGAGTGGTGAGATTTGGCAAGAAATCAAAGTTTATTTATCATTCAGTGGGTCGTTATGAATTCTTGCAAATGGTTGTCAAGGTTGCATATGAGTTGAGGTTATCTAGTAATTTGCTTCGGTTCATCTAGTGTTCCATGTCTACATGTTTAAGAAGTGTATCAGTGATTTCAAATATATCCTTCCTATTGAGGGTCTAGGTGTGAAGAGAACCTCTCTTATGAGGGGGTTATGGTTGAAATTATTGATAGACTAGTAAAAAAATTAAGGAACAAGGAGATGGCTTCCGTAAAAGTGTTATGGAATTAAGGGTGCAACATGTGAGGCCGACCCCAACATGAAGTCTCGTTACCCTCATTATTTGATAACT